CTGGAGACTGAAACAGATCTGCGGAAATCGAGGGCACGGGTTTTCAAGTGCTCCCTCGGAGCAAGCAGGGGGGGAAAGAAAGCGAGCAGAGTGTAAGGGGATCGAGGTCAGCCCCCTGATCCGAGGGAAGCAGCCAGCAACGGAAGCAGACCCAGGACCGAGAGAATCAGTCGCCAGGAGCACATCCCTCTGATGTTCCCCCGCCGTCGCTTTTTAAAGCACTTTTATCCTGGAAGGTCTCAAATATAAAACAAAGTAAAGGAAGCCTTAAAATGAACCCTGGGGTACCCACCCCCCATTTAACGATCAGCGACCGCTGACCAACCCAGTGCCATCTGTTCTGGCTTTCGATTCTACTATTTAATTAATTTGTTTATTCTGCTGCAATATTGTTAAGCAAAGGCAGACATCACATCATTTCACTGGTAAATACATAAGTGCAACTTTAACTGGTAAGAACTTTTTAAAATTAACCATATGGCTGTAAATCGCCTGACAATAAATCCTCAGTCTCGCCTAACACCCAGAAGCTGCTGACTTTTGATGGTGGAAATGCAGACACCAACCTTCGGTGTCAATTTTACTGCAATTGCCAGATAAACAATAATAAACACTATTATTTTTAGTAATAAAAAAAAGTAAACCAACAAAAGCTGAGGCCAGCAGCTTCTTCAGGATCCAGCGAGGGCTGTGCAGCCAGGCTGCCCTCGCGCCCGTTCTCTGGGCGCCCGTGAAGCTGTTCACCCCCTCCAGGTTCTTGATTTTTCTTTGAGCCTTTACCTCACGTGCGGGTCCAGATTCAGAGCTCAGCACCACCCAACAGGGTAGACCCTGGGTCAGTCCACCTGTGAGGGGCCGCCCCCCCTCCTCCACCTGAGAAGGCAGATGGCCTGGGGGGCGAGCCACCTTGGGGACCCGGCTTGGATCACGGAGTCCAGCAATGCTGCTGGCTAAGGGATTGAAGGGGGCCGGACCCCACTTCCCCGTGGGACCCCCGCCCCCCATAGGCAGGCAGCTGGGCGGATGCGGGCGCTGGCCATTGGAGGGGCAAAGTAGCCAAAGGCAAGGATCCAGATGCTTTGGATGGTGGGAAAGAAGAGCAGGACCCTGCCCGAGTAGGTACACTAGCAGGGAGGAGGAACCCCAGTGTGGGGCCCCCAGGATGGGCCGCTGAACTCCTAGCACAAAGTGGAAGGAAGAAAGTTGAAGGGCCTCATGGCTGAATCCCTGCCCCAGAGTCTCTGCCCCTCTTGGAGTCTCAGTTCCCCTTTCTGAGAATTGCTGGATGGGGCCAGAAGGCCACTAAGGATGCTTGCGGCCAGTGGAGGCGGGGGGTAGGGCAGGCCTACAAACACAGGAGAAAGACAGAAGCCCATCTGGCTCTCCCTGCCTCCCTCCTGGTGCCCACCTGACCAGCTCCCTGCCCCCTCGGTGAACCCAGGTGTGTTTGCCTTCTGAGTAGCCTAGCTCTGGGACACCCTTTCCCCCATGGCCGGGCCGGGCTTGGCGAGAGGAGGGCAGAGGCCACAGACCACCTGTAACCCACGCCTGCTGAGAAGGGCAGGCCCTGCTCTTCCCTGGCACCTCAGTGGGAGGCCCTGGGAGGGGGTGGGGAGCCCCCAGCTAGAAGGGCGGTTGTCAGGGTTTTCATTCCCTCACCAGGGCCCTGGATGAGGCGGGCAGGAGTGAGCCCAGGGTGCTGCCTGTGTTCTCAGCCCAGGGCCGGGGATGGCCAGGGCCAGGCTGCTCAGGCAGGGCAACTCCCTGGGGAGGAGGAGGGCAGGCACGTCTGCTTCCAGCAGCTCTGGCTCCATGCAGAGCAGGAACCTGGTTGGGATTCCTTCTCAGATCGCAACTCCCCATTTGCCCTTGACCTAAGGAGGGACTTGAGCCCCTAGTGGCCTTTCCCAACACCACGAGGGTGAGTTTCATCTTCCGAGGTCCTGGGGACAAGCTCTGGGAGGGGGCTGATTCTCCAAGTTCTTTTCAGGGCTCTTGTGGAGACTGGGCAGGGGATTGAGAGGTGCAGAGGGGTGGGTCACTCCCCCAGTTGCACATCACTGTGAGAGGGCGTCCCTATGACACTGGCCCCAGGAGCCTTGTCCATCACCTTGCTCGGATCAGAGAACACGAAACATTTACTGGTTACAGACCACCATCCTCACGCTGGTCTTTCATGGGGAAACCGAGGCCTGGAGGAGAGGAGGGATTTGCTCAAGGTCACTGAGGGAGTGGAGCTGAGCCTGGCTCGGGTGGGCCTGCCCCAGGTGTCCAGAGCCTGTTGGCCCTGCCTGGGCTCAGGGACTCTGCAACCCGCAGCACCAGCGCAGTCCACCCACGGTGGCGGGAATTCGGCCTTGTGTAAGGAGGAGGTGAGGTTGGTGGGTTCTAGAGGCGGGGAAGGGCAGGTGTGGTGGAAAGCCATCGAAGACATTCATCATCCGCCAGGAGCAGAGCCAACGTGCCCTAGGTTCCTAGTGATGGATGCTGCTGGAGCTCCGGGCCGGTGCATCGCCAGCCTGGTCCCGCGCGCCCTCTAGGGCTTCTTGGGCTTCGAGTTACGAGTTACGCATCGCTCTGCTCTGCTTTGTTGCACCCCTGCTGCGAGACACCCAGGATGCTGGTTCAGTATGGGGGAGAGCCAGCTTCCCTGAGCCCAGCTGGCCTAACCCAGGTTTGCATCCACCGTGTGTACTCCGAAGTTAGGCTCCTTACTCCCAGCCCTTCCCGCACAGCGCACAGCCCCTCTTTCCACCTCCTGGCTCCTTCCATCCGAGGACCTCAGAGCCTGCAGGCAAAGGAAGCCTCTCTACAGGTCAACCTTTCACTATTCCATTGAAAGACACAGCTCTTTGTCCAAATCCAGCCCAAATATGCAGCTACAGACCCTTTCTCCCTCTGATGTGGTGACAGACACAGGCTGAGTGGCCAGTGACGGTCCCTAGGCTGGCTGGCTTCCCAGGAGGCAGAGGGGATTTCCTAGATGCGGCACCTGCACTCTCCTCTCCCTTCTCCTGCACCTGTGGCCCCTGGCAGGGGACCCACCCGCTGCTGAGGGCGACCCTCCTTGGACCTCAGCCACACTGCGCTCAGTGGGGAGCTGTGGTTGGCAGGGTCGCCAGGCCACCTCGGGACTGTACCCGCATCAGCCACAAACAGTTAAATAAAACGATTGCGTGGTAGTGACAACCCCTCTGACTTGGGCTTTAATTGTACCATTTGAGGTCCGAAAGTCTCCGTGACCACAGCTGTTCCTGAAAACCATTTCCTCTCCGTACCATGGAGAGGGTGCTCCGCGGAGCTCCCGAACCCGCCTGGTGCGTGAAGGTAAAGAGGCAGAGTGGATGGCAGCTTCCGGCAGCACCTGCGCTGGCCCTGGAGGCCTCTGCCCAGGCAGGCTGGCAGTGTCCTTTCGGGGACTGGTAGTGCGTGTCCCCTGACTGCCAGAGCCCACCAGGAAAGCACCAGAAGAACAGAGGGGAAGGGTATCTGGTGGAGCCCTAGGCAGGAGTGTGGAGGCTTACCTAGGGCAGGGTGGGGAGAGTGGAGAGGGAGAGATAGGTCAGTGCTGCCCTTGGAGGGGCCTCCTGGGCACCCCACGTCCTCCTTGGCCACTGACCAGGAGCCACGGCCTTCAAAAATAACTAGCAGCAAATTTGTTTTATTGAAGCAGATCAGAAGTCCCTCCCAAAGTCGACTGAAACCTAGTTTGGAGAAAAGCAGCGTGGGGGCAGTTCCCCCCCACCCCAAGGAAGAGGAGAGCCAGCCCCTGAAGGGCCCAAGGAAGGCAGACATGGCCGCTGCAAATGCGCCTATGGGGTGGGGGGCCGGCCTGGGGGAGGAACCCCGGGAATCTCTCTTATGCTGAGGGCACTGTGAGCCAGAAGGCAGGGACCCAGAGGGGCAAGGACCGCCCAGACCATGGGCTGCCTCCAGTCAGGAGGCCTCACTTTCTGGGTCTGGCCTCAGGGCACTGGGAGCCAACGGGCGCTGGGACAGGGGATGATTCTGGGTCACGGAGCTGGATGGCAGGGGCAGACAGACAGATGGACCGCCAGCCAAGGGAAGACCTCCGTGGCGCCTTCTCCTGGGCTGTCTGGCGCCACCACTGAGAACACGGAGCCCCTAGTGTGGCCCGCTTACTGTGCATCTCAACCTGGGAGCCAGAAGCGAGGGACAGAGACAGGTTTTCAAGGAGGCTCGATTCTGTTAGAAGTGACCCTTTCTAGCCCCAAATGACCTCTCTGCCCAACTAGAGAAGCATACCCCAGAAAGGGTCCATCATCTGACCCGCTTTGCAGGGGACCCTGTATTCACCCCGTAACCGCCTATCTTGGGACTGATGGAGGCTGGATGGCCACCGTAATCCAGACTATTGAAATAAGCTTTTGTTCAGAGCCCATAAACTCAGGCCCTGAGCTGGGGCTTTGCCCATGGGTCTGGATCCCCCAAGCTTGCCAGAGATTGCAGATGGTCTAGGGGGGAGGGGAGGCTGGAGAGCAGCATTCCCCGCCTGACCTTGCTGGGAGTGTCCATGTTTTGTTTTGGCCAAAAGAAAAACCCATGTGGTTAGAGATGGCTGTCAAGGAAGGGGCAGTGGGCGTGGGGGGCCACACAGCCAGCAGCCCCTTGTGCCAAAGGAGACGGGCTCTACCTTCACCTGACTCATGGCTTTTGGGTTTTGTGGAAGCCCCAGAACTGTGGGACACAGGACACATAGTCCCCTCCTCCCCCCCAATCCTTTACCTTCCCCATCGCGAAGTGCATCTCAACCTGGGAGCCAGAGGTCCTGCTGGGCCTCCTGGTCAGGGAGGGGGACGTGGGGGCTGGAGTGGGGAGTCCCCAGACCTCGGCTCCTGCCTGCCCTTTCCACCATGCCACCGGTCCTTGGTGGGCACTGGAAAGAGCTCCAGGAAGGAGGGACGGACAGCACCCACCGTAGCCTGCCATCAGAAGAGGGGCCCCGCCCCAGTGATCACAAAGCAGCCAAAACGGTCCAGAAAACGTCCCTTTTATTCCATACGCAAATAAGTAGGTTCATTTTTAAAAAAGTCTTCGCCAGAAGAACTGGAGGCCACGGCCCAGGAGAGAAGCCCCAGTCCGGCCCTGTCTGCAGAAGGGACACTCACACAAGTGCCACCCGGCCGGGTCCTCGCCCCTTCCCCTGCGCAGGGGTGCTCTCCCTGGGGTGCTCCCTCTGTGGGGCCCACTGGCAAGGCCGTGAGGCTGGTCACAGTCCTCTGGAGGCCTGCTGTCTGGGCTCCTGCACAGTCCTGGGGAGGGACGTGTATGTTGGGTGGGGGCTGTGTTGGGGACTGGTCACCTCGAAGCACCTCGAACAGCCTCTTTGCCTCAGGGGTGGGCTGCGCCTGGGTGCTTGCGGGCTGCAGCGGGGTCACTGAACTCGCGCCCGCCGGAGGCCTGTCCTGCTGGGGCTCTGGGCTGCCTGGCACACCGGACCGTCTCTCGGGGATGCCCTCTTCCCTGCCAGGGTTCCAGCCTGTCGGGGCGCCACAGTCCAAGACATCTCTGTTACACTCTGGAGGAGCTTCGGACAGGGTTCTGGCCGGCGCGGCAGGCAGCCTGCGATCAGGCGCAGAGGGGCCCTAGGAGCGCGCCGGCCCTCCCCCAGCTTTCCCTGGGCCGCCCCAGAGGTCCCCAGCGGCCCCAGGGAGTGGGCCCAGCGGGTGGGGCTCACACCAGGCCGGGCATCTGCGCCCGCAGGAAGGGCACGGAGGCAGCTGCCGGGAAGGCGGCCAGCGGGTAGGCCAGGGCCCCGGAGAAGCCAAGCAGCGGCGGGGGCGGCGCGGGCGCGGCGGGCGCCAGCGGGAAGGGCAGCGCGGCGGCCGGGGGCCCGGTGGCGGAGGCGGCCGGGGGGCTCTCGTGGTAGAGCACCGGAACGCGGACGAGGCGCTGCGCACCCGGCGGGGACAGGCTGGCCGCCTCCAGCTCGGCCGCCAGCTGCCGTTTCCACTTGTTGCGACGGTTCTGGAACCAGATCTTGACCTGCGTCTCGGTGAGCTGCAGGGAGGCGGCGAGGCCCGCGCGCTCCGCGCTGCTCAGGTAGCGCTTCAGGTCGAAAGTGGACTCGAGCTGGAAGACCTGGCTGCGCGAGAAGACCGTGCGCGTCTTCTTCTTGCGACCGCCGCCCACGCCAATGCCGCCGCGCGCCTCGCCCGCCACGGCGGGGGCCTCGGCCAGCTCCGCCGCCTCCTCCGCGCCGGCCGCCGGGCCCCGCGCCGCCAGCTCGGCTGCCTCTCGCTGCAGCGCTCCCGGCCCGGGGCCCCGCTGCCAGGCGCCCTCGGCTCGGCCCATCTCCTCGCCTGTCTCCGGTGAGTCCCGGTCGCTGGCTGCAGGGGAGAGAGGGGCACAGGGTTGGTTCTGGGGCTGATCCCCAGACCCAATCACTGCGGCCGGCTGCTCCCCCAACCCATGGGCTCACCCACAGCTGCCCCAGGGAAACAGTACCCGGGGCAGGGCCCTGCATCCCACAGGGCTGCCTAGAGATCTCACCCAGGGATGGAGAAAGGCAGAGAGAGGAGGAGGTGAGTTGAAGACCAGAGAGCAATTCTGCAAACCGACAGGCTGGCAACACACACACTCTCACTCAGAGCTGTGCATGCACACCGGAGGATGAAAGGGGGAAGAGGGAAGAAAAGAAACACAAAGCGCAAACAGAAACCCGGAAAGAAGAGAGGTTCCCGAAACCACAGGCTCCACACTGAAACACGACAAAGCCTCGCAAGCGCCACACTGCGCTGGAAGGATGCCCTCCCCTCCGACATATATGTACGCACCAGAAAACAAACAAGGGCAGCCTGACTCCCCGGCACCCAGCCCTACACCAAGCCCCCCAGACACAGAAATAAAGACCTGCGGTGACCCTCCCCATCCACTTTCAGAGGCCGAGGCAAAATTCCCGCTTGCACAGAAACATCCCAGAGAAGGAGAATAAACAAATGCAAACGGTCTCCAAAACAAAACTCCAGGTGACACTGGGATCCCCACCCACTACCCACTTTCTGTTCCCCTCACCCAAATGCCCACGGAGACCTACGCGTCCACTCTCCCCCCCAGTACAAATACAAACGGGGCTCTGCAGAAACACCGCGGGGGCACAGCATCCCAACCACCGTGGCTGAGCCTGTGGCCTTGGGGTTACAGAAGGCCACAGGGGTTCCTGAGCTCGTGCTCCAAAATACCAGGCTCCACCTGACCTCCCACAAGTAAGGAGACGCCCCCCAGCACTGGCAAGGGATGGTGCCTCCAGGTGAAAGAGGCTGCCCAGGACGCAGGTGCATGTCCAGAGTCCAGGCCCCCCGCTTGAAGACTGCAGCGGCCAGCCTGTGGGATTCAGGCCAACCCGGGCCAGTTTGCCCTTCCCCCTTGCCATGGCCTGAGCCCCCTGTGCCAAGGCTTGGCAGGCCTAAGCGGAGTTTGGCCCCTCCAGCCCCTCCAGCCCTCAGAAGCCAGTGGTGTGCCGGCAACGTGAGTGTTTACAAGGTGTGGCAACACCGCTGGGCTTGTGTGTGTGGCTTGGGCCATACCCCGGTGGCCCTGGAGGTGCGCAGATTCGAGTGTGCCCCCGCCCAACCCCGGTGGTGTGAGCCCTCCCAGTGCCTGACGGTGCCTGACGGGGAGTCAGGCTCCAGGCTGGCGTGCTGGCGTGTGTGTGCGCGCGCGCGCGCGCGCGCTACCAGGAGCCTCTGCCTCCCCACAAACCCCGAGCCCCCAGACTCACAGAGGCCCACACACTACCACAACACACCACGCCAGGCCTGCCGGCTCTGGTGGGAAACCTGGACCCTAACCCGCATTGCACGAAATAAGAAGCCCCGTCTTCAGGAGCTGCCACGAGGGCTGCAGGGGGAGAAGACCCTGGGGCAAGGTGGGGACCACATCTCACCCTGCCAGACCTTCTCAGAAACACTCCCGGGGTGGGGGGCACTAAATGTGATCACTTGATTTCAGGGAAACCACCGAGCCGTGATCCAGTGTACGTGAAAGGGGTGGAGGCCCAGACTTTTCTGGGTATGGGTTCTCCGAGGTGGGTCCCTTTGCAGAAGGGTCACTCCCACTCCAGAGAGGGGGTTTATTGAGAGGGGTCTGGCAACGGATTTTGGAGCAAGAGCCTGGAAGAGTCCTCAGCTGGCTTTAGTGTGTGTGTGTGTGTGGGGGGGTTGCTGGCCAAGCCTGGGGGCCAGCATTGGAATGACTTCCTGGTGTTCCTCCCAGGGGTCTTCCTCCCAAGGGCAGGTCCCCAAGGGAGGCGGCGAGCCTGGGGAGAAGGAGCAGAACTCAGGGCCAGAGGGGTGAGCAATTGTGGGGCTGAGAACCCCCACTCCCAGCCTCTGAGCCCTCAGCAGGGAACAAAGGCATGGGAGGGGGAGGGGCAGAAAAGGAAGAGAGAGGGGTGGGACTGGGGGCTTCAGAATGGGCTCCCTTCTTGCCTGGGTGGACCAAGAGGGAGGTGTCCCCGGCCCCAGCCCCTGTCCACAGCTCTCAGAGGAGATGGGGTTTGAGGGCGCAGATGCTCCCCCCTCCACTCTCCAGCCCCCCAACAGTGTCTCCCTCTGCTCCAGCCCCTTCACGTTTCCCGGTCGGACTCTACTTTGTCTTCAGTTCTTCTGCCCCTTACCTCCCTGTCTTCTCACCATCACCCGCGGGGCTTCTGTGTCTGCGTCTTCTCTTTTCCTCTCTCCCCACATCCCTCTTCCTTCCTCCTCCATCCCTTCCTCCTCCATCCCTCCCTCTTCCCCCACCCTCTCCCTGCTCTCCGTCTCTCCCTGTCTTTTTCCAGCCCCCGTCCCTCGCTCTGCTTCAGCTGCCCGCCCTCCCCGTCCCCGGGCTCCTCTCCGAAGGCTCTCCAGCCTCCCTGGGACCCGCAGAGCCTGGCGACGCGGAGCTCCCTGTCCCGGGGAGCCGGCCTCCAAGCCCACCCCGCTACACGCGAGGAGGCGGGCGGCCCAGAAAGGCCTCCGACGGACGCAAAGTCCGCGAGCACAGTCCCCGCGGCCCACCGCTCCCGGCGCCCCGACTCACTGTCCGGACTGAGGCCGCCTCCGTAGCCGCCGTGCGCCCGCGGGCACCAGCGCGTCGCGCCGCCGCAGCCCAGCGCGTAGGGCGGCCCGGGGCCGGGGGGCGGCCGGGGACCGAGGCCCGGCGCGCCCGGCCCGAGCAGCGCCCGCGCCCGCGCCTCCCCGCCGGGCCCCGCGCCCGCGCGCAGCTGCCGCCGCCGCCGCAGCCGCCGCCGCCGCGCCTGCTCCGCGTCCTCGTCCTCCGGGTCGTCGTCGTCGTCCTCCTCGTCCTCGCGGCCGCCGCCGCCGCCGCCCTGGGCCGCGCGCCTGGCGCCCTTGGCCTCGGCCGCCAGCAGGTTCTCGATGAGGAAGGAGGAGGCGCGGGCCGGCGTGGCACGCCCGGGCTCCGTCAGCTCGTCCGGCATCGCGGCGCGGGCCCGTCGGGCTCTGCCGGGCTCCTCGGGGTCCCGGGCCCCCTCCGGGGACAGTGGCGCGCGGCTCCCCGGCTCGCGCGCGGGCTGCCCTGGAGCCGCCGCCGGGAGCGCTGGCGTCGGGCCCCGCCGGGCGGGCGGCGGCCTCGGCGCGGGCTGGGCTGGGCCGGGAGCGGGTGCGCGCCGACAGCCGGCCGGGCAGCCGCCTCGCTCGCCTTTCACGTCGCCGCTCTGGTCGCCGCCCGGGCCGGCCCCGCTGGGGGCGGGGAGGGGCGGGGGAGGGGCCGGCGGGGCGGGGCGGCGCAGCCAGGGACGCCGCGGCGGGCCCCGAGCGCGGCCGCCGTCCGGAGGCGCCTCCGGGGGCCGGGCGCGCGGGCGGGCGCGCGGCCGAGGGCGGCGGGCGGGAAGGTCTGGGCCGGGGGTCGCGGCGGGGTCGGGCCCGCGTGATCCATTCCCGGGGCTCGCGCCGCCGGGGCCGGGCGGGGGGTGGGGGTGGGGGTGAGGGGGCGGGGCCTCGGCCGGGCGGCCGCCCATTGGCCGCGGGAGTCCGATGAGAGGCGGGCTGGCCAATCACCGTCCGGCCGGGGCCGTAATTGCCCCGCCGCGGGGAGAGTGTTGGACCAAGCGTGAGTAACTGTGCGCGCGCTCGCGAGTGTGGTATGTGCGTGTGTGCACGTGTGTGTGTGTGTGTGTGTGGATGTGTGGGGATGTGCGTATGCACAGGGGGCGTGAAGACCCCGGACTTCTAAGAAAACCGTCAGAGGCTGGGCCACAGCCATTTTTTTCAAGACTCTGGGTGTCGGGGCTGCAAAGCTGTGGCATATTTCAATATTTACACTTAATAAAATATGCTTTCCGTGCCAAATGTGGTGCCACAGAACTCTCTGGTTCCCAGGCTCAGTCTCAGAACGTAGGGAAATGGTCGCCCCCACCCCCGCTCCGGTGGCCCTGCCGGCTGCGCGCCCGAAGGCCCGCTGAGTGAGAGCGGCTCCCCAGCGTCCCGCTCCCCGGGAGGCCCGGGCCTTAGTCGGGGGGCGGGAGCCACTGCCCCCGGCCACGGAAGTCTTGGGGGCAGGCCTCATCCCTCACTGAGCCTCCGTTTCTAGGCTGTGAACCCGAGGGGAGTCTCCTCCCCTTTCTGCAGCAGGGAGCGCGGTGACAAACGTGCATCCCGGCCCACGCCGCCACCCTCGCAGCTGTGTCGGCTCAGGAGTCACCTTGTGACCCGGCTTGCAGCGCGGTCGCGCGGGTGGAGCCGGCTTCATTGGACGCGGGTTATCTCAGAGAGACATCCTGCCCCCCAGTGCCAGCCAGGGGCCCCAGTCCAACCGAGTGCTGCCCGCGTTCTCCCGGGAGGGCTGCGGCCCGGCTCCTGGCTCATTTCAAGTTTCCGATCAGCCACCGCGCGGGAGCATCAACACCATTTTCCAGAGGGGAAAACAGAGGTGAGGGGAGAAGAGGAGAGACTACTCCAGATGGTAAGTGGCTCTGTCAGGCCTGTAATTCCGGTGCTCTGGGCCCAGGGTCCTTCCTGGCACCACAGCCCCAGAGTCGGATGGGGGAGCCGAGTGGTGAGGCCCGGACACCAGGCCCGGGCAAGGCACAGCCTCGGGACTCTGCAACGCTGTGCGACCCGAGTGCGTTTCCTGGTGTGCCTGCCTCCAGCCAGCTTCCCCTGGTCGGCCCCTCGCCAGCCCAGGAGTCCCAGGTGCTGGGACACACATGGGGGGTGCGTTTCTGCAGCCTCGAAAACCAGATGCTGCGCCCATCTTCTCTGGCCCTCACATTCCGCCCTGGAAGGGGCAAAGACCATCAAAGACAGGGACTCACCCCAGCCTGGAGGCGGACACAAGGATGAAGACTCTTCCCATTTGGCGGAGATAAGGACGCTGAGCAAAAGTGGAGACAGCTGGGGTCTTAGGGAAGAACTGGGGTCTCCCAAGTATTGTTCCCTGGGGGCACCCAGGGTCAGAGAAACTCCAGGGGGTAGAGCCAGAAGGGGGCTAAGCCCAGGGAAGAAATGGCAGCCTCAGTCCTTTGGGAAAAGAAGTGCTAGCCCAGGGCTCATCACACCCTCGAATCCCTCATCCGAGGGCACTTCTGATAGTTGGGGAAACTGAGGGCAGAGAGGGACCCTGATAAAAAGACAATGGCTGTAGGGGCGGGAGCTTTCCAGATAACCACCTACTTTAGGCAAATTATCCTGGGCCCACCTTCAGCACATTTGTTGAACCACAAGCCTGAGAGGTTGGTGCCCTTACTCCCAATATTTCCAAGCACCTTGAGAGTGGGGGCTTCCTCAAGGAGACTGGGTCTAAATTCTCTCCGCTCTCGGGCTATGTGGCCCTGGGTGCGGGTGCCTCCCCTCTGCTCTCGGTTTCTTCTATGAACCTCTGGTAGTAAATGCCCCGCCACCGCAGGCCCTTGAGAGGGAGGCTGGGCGCGCTCTCCGTGGTCGCCCCACTGCCCCTGCCGCGCGCGGGGTGGGGGGAGCGAGAAGGTCGGGGTGGGAGGCGAGGGGACAGGCTGAACGCGAGCGGAGGAACCTGGGCCTTCTCGCCGCCTCCCTGGGCTTGCGGAGGGCGCTTCGCGGCCGCCGGCACTGGTTCGCGACGACTGTGACGGCGGAGCCCGAGGGCGCGGCGCGGTCATCGGAGAGCGGGCAGATGGTCGCTGCTGGGGCGCGGGGCGGTTACAGAGGAGAGCGAGCCGCAGGATGCTCGCCCAGGCCGCCCGCCTGTGTGCGCCGCGCGGGTCCCAGAGCCAGAGACCCGCAGCCGGAGGGCAGCCCCGCGTCGAGGCGGGAGGAGAGGCGGGTTCTGAGACAGGATTGCGGGCAGAGGCGGAGCCGGGCGGGGATCCCCGCCGCGGAGGCTTTGCGCCTTGGGTCCGGCGGGCAGCTCCGAGGGGCTGGCTGCTCTCAACCCCAGGACAGTCTCCAGCAGTGGGGCGACGGTCCGGGCACTCTCTCCAAACACCACCACGTGGGGGCCCTGACCTGAGCGGGGTTTCTGGTGCTCAGGGGGCCAGAGCTCAGTTTGGGGTCACCGGTGAGCACGGGGCAGAGGGACTCCTGCAGAAGAGTAGAGCCTCCAAGTCAGGTTGTCACCGCTCTGCGAGGCACTCCCACAGCCACCCTTCCTCACTTCTCTGTCCACTCTTGTCCTTCTTTACCCGCTCCAACTCTCTGTCCCCTGTGCGGGGGGGGGGGGGACCCCCGTAGAGTCCCAGCAAAGGGTCCTAGAGGACACCCAGTGCTCTTCTCAGCTGGACAGTGAGCAGGGACCAGGCCTTGTCACCGGAGTCCCAAGTGCCTAGCTCGGGGCTGGTCGCCACGGACACCCCATTAAGGCAAAGAAGTGCTGGTGGGAATCATGGCAGCAGCTTGGACCAAGAGTCAGCAAACTGCAGCTGGGCACCACCTGTTGTATTGGGTCTTGATAAGCTTTCTTTTTAAAATAATTTTAGGGAATGTCCACTTTTATATATTCATTTTTTATATTTAAGTGACCTCTACACCCAACATGGGGAATGTCCACTTTTAAATTCAGATTTCGTCTTCTTTTGCTTCCTTCGTCTCTGACCCCAATCTCATTTGTCCTTAGCTCACCCTCGTGCCGCCCCACATACGTGCTCTTGTATATTTAATTTACATTATGCATCTCCTCTGTCTCGTATTCTTTTTTACCTTAAAGTCTAAATTTGAGATCTATCTGCGCTGATAAGTGTAGTACTGATCTTTAAATCACTATGTTCTAACCCAACAGTCACATATGCCGTGTGACTGTGTGATGGCCGCGTCACACATTTTCCCAAAACTTAGTGGTGTAAAACAGCCATCTGTTAGTGGCCCACGGGGTCCGTGAGTTGGGGGTGGCTTGTCTCCTGTGGAAGACTTGACCGTGGGGGTGGGGGGTCAGGTCTGGACTATCTGAAGGCCCGGTGGCTCTTTTATCCAAGGGCTGAGGCTGGAGTCAGCTGAGGGAGCCCTACATGGGTCCTCTCCATGTGACCTGGCTCCCACACAGCTTGGGTTTCCAGAACAAATGTGGAGGAGGGTGGAGCGAGAGGGACGCAGAGCCTGGCCTGGGAATTCAGAGCATCGCTCCTCTGTCCTCTGTGGACTGCAGCAGCCCCAGCGCCCATCAGGGCTCACAGCGAGGAGGCTTGGACCCCATCTCTCGGTAAGAGGATCATCGGGTTGAGAAATCTTCTGTCGTCGGTCAGGAAGAGACAGGTACCTCCCGCACGAGTGTGCTGCCCCGCTGGGGGACATTTAGGTTGTTGCCAGCTTCTGCTATTGTCCATGTCACTGGGATGAACACACCTGCCATAATTTCTGAGAGTTGTCTAGGGGTGCATGCCCCCAACATGGCACTCCTGGGGTGAAGGGTCTATGGAGATGCAACATCACTCAGCACTTCAGAAAGATTCTTCAGAACAGCTCACCAGTGTCTGTGTCCTCTCATCTTCACTAGCACTTGGTTTTATCTGACTTTCGTCTGTGACACTGGGATGCACATCAAGGGAAATCAGGTTGTTTTAGGTAGTGATTCTCTGGTCACTCATCGGATAAGGTTGCTCAGGGGCAGGGAGATGAAGGGGACGTGGGAGAGCTGCTGGGGAGGACAGAGGAGGGACGGGTCGCAGTTAAGTCAAGAGGGCCTGTGCATACGGAGAGCTGGAGAACAAGGTTCTTAGTTTGCAAAGTAATGGGGAGCCAGTGAAGGTTGTTTAACCAGGGGAGGGGTAAAGCTGAGCCTTAGGAGGAGTAACCCGGAAGGGATGGCACATGCGGGGTGGGTGAGAGATGACCAAGCACAAAGGAGGGTCCAAGGGAGGGCAGTGGCCATGCCAAGGGGCCCTGTCTCGGTATCCATCAGCTGGTGCACAGTCCAGAGTGGGGATGGGGGCAGAGCCCAGTACGTCCTTAGTCTGCTCCCCATGTGACAGCCAGCATGAAGTGTCCTTGCTGCTGTCCAGATGTGCAATCCGGCACTCAGCTCAGCTGCTGTGTCCACTGTGGTCTTGGGCCAGTTGCGGGCCCCCCAGGGACCTCCCCTGAAAAGCGAGACCAGCAGTGCCATCCACCAGCATGAGGGGAGATCACGGGGCAGGCAAGTCTTTGGTGTATATTAAAAATGTTTGCTTTGAAAAAGACCAAATGTATGAAAATTATTTGGGCTGCCTTTTTTTTTTAAGGGTCTAGCCACATC